CCTCTCTTCTTCTTGTTTATTTGGTAAGTGGATCAATTTGGAGTCTTTCCTTTTTCCCCCCGCGTGCCCGCGACCATCCTCAGCCCCGTTCGAACCTCCTTCCATACAATTTCCCCGAGAACATTACAAGGATGATAATCCTTTATTATTTTCAGTATATATATGTGTTATGTGATGAGCCTTGTTGGGAAATTTCATGTTAGGGTTTGATAAGTGGCTATTTAATCTCGTGATTTATTCGTTAATTGTATTCGAATGTGAATTTCGCTTAAATCCTGATTAGGGTTGTGGATTATTGGAATATTTGAAGTCATTGGCCTCATGGTTCAGCCCTTGGACGTTTTAGATGAATATGTGATCATTGATGTGTTGTTGAATCGGGTATTGCTGGTGATTCTTATAAAAAATCATATTAAATTATGTGCTCGTCCGATTGCTCTGAAATTTAAACTGTGGAGTCCCCTATTTGGTATATTATGTGTCGTAAAAATTTCATGCCGAAATAAGATCGGTAGCTATGTCAAACGTGGATTTGAAATTCTGTAACGGACACGGCCTTTCATTAGGTCTTAAGGAGACTTGCCTCGCAAGGGAAACCGTACTGTAACTCGATGGGAACAACCGTACGACGTCCGTAACAGCTCACATCAATAGGTCAAATGGTTCACATTCATACATAGGTCATACCAACCAAACACTTAAACACACGTATGGCATAGAAAATTTTTATAAGTAAAACCCACCTGGTGTAGCAACGGAGAAAATGGCACACAAACGGATGTAGGCAGCGAGCACGGCTCGTCAGACATCTACATCAATTATATACTAAGATCAACACCTACTTGACCTTAGAGAACAATCACAAGCACCCTTGGTCGAACTTGATTCAACCAAGTAGTTCGTGAAGTTTCGTGGATACTGGAACACTTGGGTCCTACATCTAGACTTGACCAAAATGCATAATAATAACACATACAGTCCTAGCACACTAAACAAAGTCAAACAGGTCAAAGGAACACATAAGGGTTCGGGAAAAAAGATAAGAAAAGCTTGGGTCGGGCCCCGGGCTGCTCGCTGGCACGGTCGTGGACGGCAGGGAGTGGCTGGGATGCGCACGGGCGCTGGGCACTGTGTTGGGGTGCTGGGTGCTGGACTGCGGGCGCTGGGGCGCTGTGATGAGGATCGTGTGTTTCGACTGCCGATAAGCCACAAACTAGTGCCTTGAATCGCCGATAGTTGCCTAGAGGTTCACAAACCGCACCCCTCTAAACGATATAATTGCTATAGAATTTTGGTGAAAAACTAAAGCAAAGAGGATGAACAAAAGTTCTTGAGTTCTTATTAATTCTTGGATGATTAAAAATAACATAGGGATGGGGCCTTTTTATAGGCACAAATTATATTTAGGCCTAATCTACCTAGGAAACTAATAAAGCAATAAAATATTAGGAATCCTAAACAAGCTAGAAAATATAATACTAGATGGAAATTAGATCTTTTGGTGTGCACTCCAAGCAATTCTCTCTCTCTCTTACTCCCGCGCACGCACGCCTTAGGTCGGTTGCCGCCTTTGCCCATGCCCTAGTCCTCGAGGACTAGGGCTCCGTCATCCTCGCGCGCGTGTCGCCCATCCGTCGTGCCGCGCACGCCATTGCTACCCGCCGCCTCAGCGCGCGCGTGCCCCCCGCCCGGTTGTCCGCATTCCTCAAGGACTGAGGGTTCGTTCGCGCGTGTTGCCCCCCTGCGCGGTCCTTCTGCGCGCGCGCCCCCGTCATCCGCGGCCCGCGCGCCCTGTTCACCCGTGCCCGCGTGCTGCTTCGTTGCGCCCATCATGTGCGCATCCTCGCCAGCCGTCCGTGTTCTGCTCGCGTGCCCCAACCGCGCGCACCCGCTGGCCAGCCATTGCCTGCTCGCCGTGTATGTGCGATCATTCTTGCCCATGGCCACGCCCTTTTCGCAACCCTCGCGCGCACTATGCTCAAGTGCGCGCATTTCTGCCGTTACTCGTGCTTGCCTCTTGCGTGCATGGTAGGCCCGACTGGCGGCGTTCTTGAGCTGCCTAGCCACTTCCGCATCATTCCCGTCCCCTTCAAGTGAATCCTTGTCCTCAAGGATGAAATTCGGGAACTGATCGCGCATCTCATCAAGATCTTCCCACGTGGCTTCTTCAGATGGCAACTCTTCCCAGTCAACTAGCACTTCCCAACGGTAACGCCCTGCTCTCTTTACCTTTCGGTACTCGATCGCTCGTCTTGGACGTATTATGGCCCTTCCATCGGTTGCAGTTGCTGATAGCTCCTCACAATACTTTTGTGCTTCTCCCAGACTTTTTTTGAGCTGTGAAACATGTATAACCGGGTGGATCTGCGAACTTTCTGGTAGCTCCAGACGATAGGCTACCTGACCAATGCGTTTCAGAATCTGATATGGCCCATAATAACGGACGCCAGCTTAGTTGCGGCCCTCTGTGCTGTTGTGCGCTGTCTGAATGGTCGTAGCTTAAGATAGACGTACTCTCCGGGTACAAAATTTTCCTCTCGCCTTTTTCCATCTGCGAAGGCTTTGGTTCGATTGATTGAGCCTTCGAGATTTCTTTTCAGCTCACGTAACATCAAATCTCGTTCCTCTAGTTCTCGACCGACTTCATCGTTGACTGTGCTTCCTTCCGAATAGTTGATCAGCGTTGGGGGTTTTCGCCCGTAAACCAACTCAAACGGCGTCGTCTTGGTTGACTCATGGTAAGTGGTGTTATACCAATACTCAGCCCATGGTAAAAAGTTTTCCCACCGCTTTGGGAATTGATGGACGTAGCACCTCAAATATTGCTCAAGAGTTCGGTTGGTTACCTCTGTTTGTCCGTCTGTCTGTGGGTGATAGGCTGAGCTCATAGATAATTTAGTCCCTTGCAACTTGAAAAATTCAGACCAAAAGTTGCTCATAAAAATCCGGTCTCGATCAGAGACTATGGACCGAGGTGCCCCATGCAGTTTCATTACGTATTCCACGAATAACCTGGCAATCGACTTTGCGGTGTAAGGATGGGTAATGGGTATGAAGTGAGCGTACTTCGTGAGACGATCCACCACAACCATAACACTGTCGAATCCATTAGAATTTGGTAGCCCCTCGATGAAATCCATGGTGATGTCTTCCCAAATTGCCTCGGGTACTGGTAGTGGTTGCAATAGCCCACTCGGCCGTCGTGAGTCAGACTTAGTACGTTGGCAATCATCGCATCGTGCTATGTAGTCTCGGACGGTACTCTGTTGTCCTGGCCAGAAGAAAGTGTTGGCTATTCTCATCCACGTGCGATAGATACCCGAGTGGCCTCCAACCTTAGAGTCATGGAAGTGCTGCAGTATTTGCTCGCGCAACTGCCCACTGTCGGGGACATAGACTCGACCTCGGTGTAGAAGTATACCGTTATGAAACTCGTAATCGATAGAAGTCGTCTTGACAACTTCTATCGATTGGCGCAGCTCCTGGCAATGGGTATCCTCTACCTGCGCCTTCCTGATCTCATCCCAAATGGCCCAAGTAGGTCCAGTGATAGCACTCAATTCGGCCACATCTGTCTGTCGGGACAGTGCGTCGGCTACTGCGTTTTGTCGACCTGGTCGATAGATTATCTCGAAGTCAAACCCCATGAGTTTAGACACAAACTTCTGCTGTTCGGGGGTAACAATCCTTTGCTCCAATAGGTGCTTAAGCGGTTGTGGATCGGTAACAATTTGAAAACGTCGACCTAATAGATAAGGCCTCCAGCATCGTACAACCTCAACAACTGCTAGCATCTCCTTTACGTACACCGACAGTCCCAATCGAGTAGTACCTAGTGCTTTGCTGAGATAGGCTAGGGGTCGCCCCTCTTGCACTAGCACAACTCCAATTCCAATGTCACTCGCATCGGTGTGTACCTCGAACAAGATATCAAATCTGGGCATGGCGAGTACTGGCGCTGTAGTCATAGCTTCCTTCAATTTTCCAAACGCCTCCTCGCTAGCTTCGGTCCATGTGAACCCGCCTTTCTTAGTCATTGTTGTCAGTGGCTTGGCAATGGTTCCATAGTCCTTTACGAACTTTCGGTAGTAGCCTGTGAGCCCCAAAAATCTTCTCAACTGCGTGAGACTTGTTGGCTTAGGCCAGTCGACCATAGCCTCAATCTTTCGTGGATCGACCTTCACGCCCTCATGTGATATGAAGTGCCCCAAATATTCAACCGTCATTTGCCCAAAAGAACATTTGGACGGCTTTATGTGGAATGAGTTGGCCTCCAGAATCTCGAGCACCACTCTCAAATGCCCAAGATGTTCGCCCCATGACTTCGAATAGATCAGGATATCATCAAAGAATACCAGAACGAACTTACGTAGATACTCCTTGAAGATAGAATTCATGGCGAACTGGAAAGTGGATGGGGCGTTGCATAATCCGAACGGCATGACAAGATACTCATAGTGCCCCTGATGTGTGCGAAAGGCCGTTTTGAGGATGTCAGCTTGGTGGAGTCGAATCTGATAGTAACCAGCTCTTAGATCAAGTTTAGAGAAATACCGTGCCCCAGCTAACTCATCAAGCATGTCATCAACACTTGGAATAGGAAATCGGTCCTTGATGGTTGCAGCGTTTAGAGCTCGGTAGTCAGTACAGAACCTCCACGTGCCGTCTTTCTTTTTGGCCAATAGGACTGGAGACGAAAATGGACTCTTACTATGCTGGATTAGTCCTAATTCAAGCATCTCGGCCACTTGCCGTTCGATCTCGGTTTTATGAAAGTGAGCGTACCTATAGGGATGAACGTGGATGGCATGTTGTTCGTTGATCAGAGGTATGCGATGATCGAACTCCCGGTGTGGAGGTAGTCCCTTAGGTTCGCCCAATACTCCCTCAAATTCCTGGAGAAGCTCGTGCACATCTCCCTGCTGTTGATCATCACGATCCCGGTGCGCTCCCATGTTCTCGACTACTACTGCAAAGATTTGGCCTCCACCACGCCAAACTCTCTCGATGCTTGTCAACCCTACTTCCTTAGTTCCTTTTTCATTGCCGGTGTTGAGGGTGACCTGACGACCTTCGGAGTTGTACTCCATAATTCCTGTTCGATAGTCGGTCGTCACCTTGCCTAGTCCCTCGAGCCACTGAACTCCCAGTACTATGTCTGGCCCAACTAGGGGTAAAGCATACAGATCAGCTTTTACCGTGACTCCTTGGAACTTGATTGGCACCTTTCGAAAAGATTCAGTGCATTGCAACCTCTCTCCATTGGCTACCCGTACCTCAAATGGCTCGATCTTCGTGGTTGGTAATTTCATCTTTTGAGATAAGTCAGCATTGATGAAATTATGCGACGATCCATTGTCGACGAGCACCATTACTCTCCGATCTTTGACCCATGCTGTTAGTCGCATTGTCCTTGGTCCTCTGATTCCTGCCATTGCATGCATCGAAATTTCGGGCTCCTCATTGAAGGCCTCAATCTCGTCCTCCTGAGGCGGTTCCTCCTCGACCTCAACCTCCTTGTCGTCCGGGTTGGCCACCTCAATTACAAAGGCTTGCTTGCACTGATGCCCCGGGGTAAACTTCTCCTCGCACTTAAAACAAAGACCCTTCTCACGTCGTCGCTTGACTTCCTCTGGCGACAGTCGTCGGACTAATGACCCTGCTGGCCGCGTATTGAAAGCAGGCCGCGCGCTCGCGGGTAATTGGCTTGGACCCGTGCGACGTGTATCAGGAATCCGGGTGTCCGTCCGTCCCCTTCGTGTTGCAACCAAGTGGTCTTCTCGTCGTCGGGCCACTTCCATCGCGTCATGCATGGTGTCGGGCCTCTCGAGCCGAACCTCAGCAGCCAAGTCAAATTTCAACCCGCCTATAAACGCGACGACTAATGCATCTTCCGGCCAGTCGCGCACGCGGCAAGCTAATCGTTCGAACTCCCTGATGTATTCGCGTAGACTGCCCGTTTGCCGTATGCGCGTAAGAGCCTCATTGTAGTTATGATAAGCAGACGTACCGAACCGTGTAAGCAACTCTCTTTCAAAAGCATCCCAAGTGATAATTTGTTGTCGCTTGTGATAAATCCTTGTGAGCCATTGCCACCATACATTGGCCTCACCATCGAGATAATAAGCAGCATACCTGATGCGATCTGTACCATCGGTTTCATTGAGCTCAAAATATTGTGTCGCCCTATTGAGCCATGAGTCTGGATCACTACCTGTGAATGTGGACAACGTGATGCGCGGTTTATCGGATGCACGCTGATCGCGGTATGTGGATGCCTGGGACTGTCGATCGAGGTCGTCCTCGCGCTCATGCTCCTCGCGCCGCCGATCCTCTCCTTCAGGCCGCTCGCGTTCGTGCTGTTGCGCCTGATCGCGTTGCCGCGGTGGTGGCAGGCGAGCGAGAACCGTGCGCGCCATCTCATCAAATCGCCAGTTCATGGTTTCCATTAAATCTTGCACCGTTGACTTGGTATTGCCGAATCCTTCACCCAAAGTTTCAATAGCTTCGCTCATGCTGCGGAATTGGACATCGAGATTATCGGTCTTGTCCTTCATCTCTTTGTTGGCCATGGCTTTCTTCTCTTGCTTGCG